TTAGACACCCTTCCGCACATACGGCGGCAGTCGCAATGGATTGATAATGGTGCCGACAAAGATAATGCACTCCACAACCAAGACGCACCACGTCTCTATCCCGACAAATGTCGCACGAGAGACGCTCAACAATCCAGAACAGTGTATGATTCGACAAACCTCGCAAGAATTCATTTATGTTGACAATAACCTGAATCACCGTCCCACCATCCCACAGTTCCCACTGGGCAGCTGCACGAATGACTGCCATATAGTGCCCGGATTTGTGCAAAATGCATGCAGAAATATGAGGACGGGCATTAAGGTCCTCGCCTGGCGTCCCATAATGCATGAGAAGGTGGCAACCGCGAAATGCTAACTGTAAGACATTTATAGTAAAGCCTCCTGAGGTAGTATAATTACTATCCTCAGGAGGTAGACCATTACGGTCGTACAACAACACTCATTTTCAACAGTGTCAAGCTGATAAGCAATTGTAAGAAATTGAGATACAATATAACCTTGACGCTGATAAGCTTGCAGACAAACATTCGTGGCTGTCAGGCCACAAATGTTTGGTAGATCTGCTCGCAAATCCGAAACAGTCACCACTGGAAGGCCCGGTCTGATTTGGCGTGGTCGGCGTTTAATCGACAAACGCCGTCGACGTACCAAAGCAAGTTGTCGGTCAGACAACGAACCAGGATCAATACGACGCCGAGAGGAAGGGGGACTAGGAGGTGGGGAGAATGAACGAGCCTGCCACCGTCCTAATATAGACAACGAAGATAAGGGAAGGATTGATCTCAGTCGACGGTGTTGATAAGACAAAGAAGAAGAAGAAGAAGAAGAAGAAGAAGAAGAGGAGGAGGAAGAAAAAGCAGAAGACGAAGGAGAGGGACGGGAAGAAGAGAAGGGAGAGGGAGAGGAAGGGAGAGGGAGAGGGAGAAGGGGAGGGGGAGGGGGAAGAGGAGGGGGAGGAGAGGAAGGAGGAGGAGGAGGAGGAGGAGGAGGGGAAGGGGGAGAGGGAGGAGAAGGACGAGCAGATGGAACAGAGGAAGGGAGAGGAGGGGGAGGGGGAGAAGGGGTAGCAAGGGGAGGAGAGGGTGGAAGAGGATGATGCATGGACCAACGAAGCATGCGACGAAACCATTGTGTAAGTCTCGTCACATGTGTAGGCTGCCGACGCTGGCGAGCACGAATATAACAAGTCCATCCTCGAGCCAGTGTTGATGGAACATGGCCACGGGAAAGCAAACGGCGGGCAAGCAAAGCTGCTGCCGTTTTAAAATCATGCCAATTGTCACAAATCTGCTCAAACCGCGTAAGCTGGCCAGTGAACACACCTGCAGCTGATGAGATGGAATGTTTGACGTTGCACTAAGGTATCGTATAACAGGGAAACCCCATGCAACAGTCTTATCATACACACTCAATCGGAGGGATCCATCTGTATGTGTCTGCAGCTTCGCACCTAAGAAAGTACAAGAACCATCAGGATCCGTTGTCTCCTTCCATTCCAGACCATAACAGGCTGGCGATGGYGGGAGGCAACCGAAAGTGAGGACATCATCAATGAAACGATAAGTGAAAGCATATTGTCGAGCAGCAGAAGGATCCACACGTTGCAGGTTGTCCACATACTGCGCCTCATCCCAATAAGGTGTAAGATTAGCAATCTCAGGACCAGCATTTGTCCCCATAGGGATACTGACATCTTGATGACGCACAAGGCCATCCGCTGTATATAGATATGTATCAGTAACAATAAAACGAAGATGTTGAAAAATGTCCGACACAGAAAGAGTGTCAGGTCCCGTATCGGTTGTCCATTCCCCTGCACGCGGTCCACGGGTCACCATACAAAGAGCAACACAGGATGAGCGTGTCCGTGTATGCTGCTGTGCCTGTGCAAGAGCGTAGGCATGTGCCTCATCAACAGCGTTAGCAACATTGTCAAGAATGCGTTGATGAGAAAGATTAGTATACATGGTAGTAAAATCGACCGTATGAGGGACCAGACCTCGAAGAGATGCTTTATTCTTTTTTAGGTCAAGCATGACCTCGTCACTGCTCTGAACAATCCAACATCGTCGAATGCCTTCGCATTGGAAAAGCTGATTATCTTTTTCGCGAAGAGTGCAGATGACGCCTTGAAGTGCCGCACTCAAACGAGCCGAAGTTGCTGTTGTGCTAGCAACAGGCTTGTGAGGCGGCCGGTGATGCAAACGCTGGACTCGTTGGGAAGAGTGCAAGTCATTCCGCTGGGCCATATGAGAAGAATAAAGGTTGTTACGGAACGTGATACCAAAAATAGTTCGGAGTGCAGGGGGAGACTTATGGGCCTTAAGCGCGCAATAGAGATATGGCAATGTGTCAGCATGAGGATATATATATATCATCACATAAATATCAGAGCGCAAAAGCGAAAAAAACAAAGAAAAACAAAAAAGATATCAATTCGTTTTTTATCTTCTTCCTTACAACTCCCCCTGTTCAGAACCTCTTGCGTACAAGGCCTATATAGTCACAAAAATATCAGAGTGCAAAGGCAAACAGAAAAGAAGGAAAACAAGAAAAAAATCAATTCGTTTTTTATCTTCTTCCTTACAACTCCCCCTATTCAAAACCTCTGGCGTACAAGGACGCCCACGTGGACGTAGGTTGAGAGGCGGCTGCCCCCAACCCCTTGTGTTATATCAACCCACTTGCACACAGCCAAAAGGCAAAAAGAAAGAGGAAGGGAACAGCCGAATCTAACAAAACAGGGGGAAACAAGTGGAAACAAGCATAAATAGATCCTAGATGACAAGTCCCACATGAAAGCACCGCCCCCTACCTCACAGGTGAAATGCAAAAGAAAGCAATCCCAGGTAACAAACCATTCGTGCTCGCCAGCGTAGACACCCTATCCATATGGTTTCGTCATACGCTTCGCTGGTCTAAACTGAAATACTGGGACACCTCCAACGTCAAAAAAGCATAAAAGACAATCCCAGATGACGATTCCCACATAAAAGCACCGCCCCCTTACACACAGGCCGGACAATGGGAAACAGCCAGCTAGGATGCAAAAAAAATAAGAAAAAGAGCCCGGATGACAGGTCCCACATGAAAACACCGCCACGGATCCCCTAACATAGACCGAACAACAGGACGAAACCAACCGGGATGCAGACAAAGGTGCCGAAAATACCAAAACAAATACTTCCATAACCATATTAAAAAAACACAACCATACAGTAGATCCGCAAAACGAAATACCCCAACAACGAGAGTTGCCCTGTAAACCATAGGCAGAGAGGAAGAAGAGGACAAAAAACGAGGGGCTGTGACAAACTGTTTCGTCGAGTTTCAATGACTCGTCAGGAGGCTGAACCCTCAACAGTCTGCAGAACCCCCTAACTGATTACATTGTTAAGTGATAATCCTCCTTAACCCTGGTTGTGGTTAAGCATCAAGGACTTCCCGACAACTGATACCCTGAGGTGGACACCAACCACTGCCCTCGAGGTGCCTGTGACAAAAATCAAAGCAGACTATCACTCACCCACACCAGATGGAAAACTCTATAGATTGAGATATATATTGTCACAAAGTTCTCAGAGCACAAAAGTTAAAACAAAAACAAAAACAAAGAAAATTAAATCCATTTTTTTTATCTTCTTCCTTACAACTCCCCCTGTTGAGAACATCTTGCGTACAAGGCCGCCCACGTGGATATATCGTCTGTTTGACGATATATGATATATAAATATAAACTATGAACGAAAACAGCACACTTTGTGAAACAAACGGTAAAGAATCTAAAGATTATAAAAATCAAAACAAAGATGAGGGGCACACTGAAACCATTCATTTTTCTCATTCTCCTTTTAACTCCACCTTCACCGTGCCTCTCACGTACAAGGCTCCCCACGTTGATGGAGTTGAGTGCGAACTTCCAGCATCCCCACGCGCCCTAATGGCCCATTTGTACGTTGTGAAAAAGAGGCAGAGTAAAGGGGGAGGTGATAAACACAGGGAAGAGAGATGAAGAGGAGAAACAAAGAACAGAAAAGGGAAAGTAAGGATAAGAAAAGACCCAAGAATGAGTTTGTCCTTGACGACAGAGAGGACACACATTGTAAGGACGAGGTGGATGGGCACACGGAAGACCTAGCTGAGCATTCTCAGCACAACAATTGCCACGACGACTGGCATTGAGCACACCGAGCATTCTCAGCACAACAATTGCCACGACGACTAGCATTGAGCACACCGCCATACACTCCCAACAAATCGCATGTCGATTGCAGGCCAAAATGAAGGAAGAATGCTCACCACAAAAGACCATGCATTCAGTATAGCGCCCATGCCCACAAAATGGACATATAGTGTCCGAATTTAGAGGGTGCCTCCAGTCAGGAACAGAAGGACAGTCCTCTACACATGGATGAAGAAACCATGTCATTGTATTCATTGGGACAGAAACGATGGCGGCTATAGCTGAGTGTGACAGTGTGTGTAGTTGTGCAAAGGAGAAGGTCCGCCGAGTGTTGGTACATTGTCCTGCTGCAGCACGGGGGGCCAGAGGAATGATCTTTGACATAAAAGAGATTGCGAAAAACAGCATCAGATCAGCATCAAGCTGAAGGGCGATTGCAAGGAAGTCTGATGGTGTATACAACGGCCGATTGAGAACGCGAAGGCAGCTATTAGTTGCAGTCAGACCACAGAGAATGGTGAGGATCTCAGGCTGGTGTGCCGGATGCTGGCCAACAATCTGCAAATCACCCAGATGGTGTTGCAAGCCCAAAATGTATTGGGTTGCTTGCTGGTCAGTCGTTTGCAGATCACCCTTGTGGTCTGCGTGTGGTGGGGCACAAATTTATGGTTCATCAACACAATGCTGGTCAGCCATTTGCAGATCCCCCTGGTCTACGCCTTGTGGGGTGAACTGCAATCCGGGTAGATCATGTTCCAATCCCTCAACATTCGAGGCCGCATCCTGATTAGGGACTGTCCCTGGAATCGGGAGTGCACCCTGGCAGGGACCACATCCTAAACCTAGTGTTGTGGCTGCCTGCAGGCAGCTGGACTGTCTACAGGAGGCATAGGAGCGGATATATTGTCATTTGGAACAAAGGAACTGCAAGAACCTGTGAAGCAGGCATAAAGAGAATTGGGGCCGACAAAGAAACAGGCTGCTGATCCCTGAACAACTGACAATGCCATGCATGTCGTTGACCGATACACAATAAGAGTAGTGGTGTTGCGAACAGAAGATAAACATGTCCCTGGCAACAAAGATGGAACAATGAGCACAATGGAAACCGGAGAGTCTGTTCGCAAGCGAGACCGTGGAGGAGAAGGGAGTGGCAAGGACGAATGCAACCGTCTACGGCCACGGACAGGAGGAAGGCAACATTTTGAAACAAAGGACGTGAGTGTCGGAGAGACTGCTGTTCTTTGTGCTGGAGCTGCAGCTGAGGAAGCTGTAGCAGCAAAAAGCATAGTACGGGGAATTCCATTTATAGAAACTGTTGTACTGAAGACTGCAGCGGAGGAAGCTGCAATAGGAACTGCAGCAGTGGAAACTGCCAGAGTAAAAAACGGAGCTGTAGAAACTGTACCGATGGGAACTGCAGCAGTGGAAGCCGCAGCAGTGGAAACCGCGGCGGTGGAAACCACAACGGTGGAAACTGCAGCAGCAGAAACTAATGCAGCAGTGGAAACTGCATTAGCAAAAACTGTCGGAGTGAAAACCCGAGCCGTAGCAACTGCAGCGGTGGAAACCGCAGTGCTGGAAACTGCAGTGCTGGAAACTGCAGTGCTGGAAACTGCAGCAGTGGACACCGCAGCCGTGGAAACTAAACTAGCAGCAGATGAGCAAGCAAAAGCAGGACAAGAGCGACATGGAGGAAAAGAAGAAAGTGGATGATGCAGGGACCAATGCAGCATGTGTCGGAACCACTGAGAGAGACATGTCACATGCGTAGGATAGTGACGTTGGCAGGAGTGCATGTAGGAGGTCCACCCTTAGAAAGGGTTGGTGGGGAATGCCCACGTGAAAGCATGCGACGAGTAAGTGTTGTTGCCACAGTTCAAAAGTCCTGCCAATGGTTACAGATTTGCTCAAATCTGGTCAACTGTCCAAATGAACACACCCACCTGTTGATGGGAAGGGATGTTGGAGGTCACAATCGGACAAGGAATGACAAGGAAATCCCAAGCAGCCCCTTTATCAAACACACTCATGCTACGAAACCGTGCGTTCTTTAAAGGCGCGTTTTCCATTCAGAAATTCAACGGATTGAATGCACGTTCAAAGAACGTGCGTGCACACGGAGTTCAANAATCGAGAAAATGGTACATACAAGTCACAGGCGCACCGCAGCAGGCAGGGGCTCTGGTATGTGACCCTGCAGCACCAACCACGCAATGTGTGTGCGTGTGTGTGTGCCCATGTTGTGGCAGTGGATACTTCAAGTTCCATGTTCCAGGGGAAGATTCAATCCAATTTTGCTCATTTGGTGAAGCGTGGCAATGTCGGTCTGTGTGTATGTGTGTAGGATGATGAGCAAAATCGGAATAAATCTTCGACCAAAATATGGAAATATACACTCCCACACTTTTTTTTTTTTTTTTTTTTTTTTTGGGGGGGGGTGGGGGGGGGGGGGGGGGGGGGGGGGGGGGGGGGGGGGGGGGGGGGGGGGGGGGGGGGAGGGGAGGGGGGCGCTCTGGAGAATAGGTAGCCAGCTGGGGTCTGGGGGGGGGGGCACTGGCACTCAATGGCCCCGAAAGACAAAAAAAGAAACACAAGGAAAAAAGGGTAAAAAAAAAGGCTCATGGAAACCAACCGGTGGCACCACGCATTCTCGGGGGGAAAGAGAGAGAGAGATCTGCCAGATGGCAGCGCACGAGCGGCGCAATCACGGACGTGCACACAGGTGTGCTACAGAGGGAGAGAGAGAGAAAGCTGCGTGGTGGTAGCGCTGGAGGGCAATGGTGAGTGCAGGCGCACAGGCTCGCTTTAGAGTGAGAGAGAGAGAGAGAGAGTTGCACGGTGGTAGAGCGTGAGGAGCACGGTGAGGGCGCGAGGACACAGGCGCGCTTATGAGAGAGAGAGGCAAGGTGGTAGCATGCAAGGGGCGTGGTGAGCGCACGCGCGCCTGCTTGAGAGAGAGGGAGAGAGAGAGCACTTGTTTGTAGGGGAGGCATAACATTGTGGGGGTATCGGGGGGAGGGCCATCAACGCCCCCCACCCCGCCAACCCCGTGACCCCTCCCCACGTCCCACCCCCCACACCCACCATCCCCACCACCCCCTCAGACCATTGAACTCGGCGCACCCCGCGTAGCCCCCATGGCGCCCACCCCGGCTGCGTGCGCAAGTTCAATTGTTTCACAGGTGCTCGCACATGCTGCATTTAAACGCGATTGAACCGGCACGTGGGGGAAGCTTACACATCATACCTCACTAACACGCTCTGAGCAACTTCTTAGGCCAATACGGCCAATCAAGCAAGCAAGCACGAAATCAATCGATCAATCAATCAATCAATCAATGTGTATGACCGGCCATACATGCTCCAATGATAGGTAGTACTGAGTTATGTATAAAAGCGTTAAAATGTCTACATGTTGGATGTATAAGACAACATAGTATTACAAAATAGTGATGCGCACATGCAATGGGCCCACTTCACATACCACCTGAGAGTCATCATGAGACATGTATTGTTGGACAGGCAATGCCACTCAGGGCATCCTCACGGTAGGGTGTTTTTGGAACATATGAGACGGCAGTTGCCGCCAGATTCAGTCGGGAAATGCCCTAGGATAGTTTTAATAGTGCTCTCTCTCTCTCTCTCTCTCTCTCTCTCTCTCTCTCTCTCTCTCTCTCTCTCTCTCTCTCGCGTAGACTCACCCCTTTGTTCTTGCTGCTCCAGATGAGGTCTCCTGCACTGTCCATGAACACAAATGCACCGATGGCAACCCTGAAACACAAATAATTTGGGTGGTTGCGTTTTTAAACAACGCCCTCCCCTCGCCCACCCACCCACCCACACACACACACACACACACAAGCAAACAAACACACACACAGACCCCAGCAGTGTCACCAAACAGCATACATCGAGAGCCCTCGACATGTAGACAACTCCTTTTCCTCGGTTAGCATGCCTGGAGTTTCACACTAAACCATTAACACCATTGAAAAGAGAAAAAGAACACACACACACACACACGCACACCATGCGGCCTGCTTCATTACGATAATGGACCCCTCTGCGAGCGTCTCTTCTCATGTTCGCTAAAGAAACCTCCACAGAAACGGCATGACTGTGCCAGACTGTCTCGTTGGACTTCACCAACTCGTCAGGAATTGAACTCCGAGAGTCTGCTCAAGGTTGCATTTGACTGACGGATGCGGACTCACCACGTCGGCCAGAGATAGCGATAACCCTTTGAGTGTGTGTGTGTGTGTGTGTGTGTGTGTGTGTGCGTGTGTGTGTGTGTGTGTGTGTGTGTGAGCAAAGAGGGTGAGGCTCTGAAAGGAGGAGATAATGACCGTATGTTCTATTCGGGTAAAGACGGTAGCTGTTATTCGCTCCCTCAGTGTGAAGGGGTGAAGAGGTTAAGTCCCCCTCTCCCGCGAATACAGCACACTGTGGTTATTAACAGTATATATCTGTCTGCCGCAGAACCTGATCTCTCTATACAATAATGTCGATGTGCTCTATTCGAGATCAGATCCCAGCCGCTCGATCGCCGGACCGATCCGTCGATCTAATCTGCAACTTTTGCTATGTCGACGTTCAACTAACCCGTCTGACTGATTCCTCCATTCATTAATTGATTGATTCCGTGATTGATTAATTGTTTAACTCATCGATTGATTGGTTGATTGACCGGTTGAGTTACGCCATACACGCACACCATAAACTGTATTGATGTACCTGAGCTTAATCACGGTTGATTCGTTACCTGACCTTAATCACGGTTAGATACGGTCGACTAAGCGGCGCTAGCGTATCACTCGTCAGACGATCGGAGTTGTCGGTTTTTCAAGAGTAATCAGTCATTCGACTACCGGTACTCTTCGCTAGAAACAACAGAGTCCAGGTGGTTAACGGAGACCCACAATTTCAGCGTTTTTTTTTTAATGCTAATTTATAAGAAAACCCGAAGGCCTTTCTAGCCAAACTTTGCATCATTCCATAGAGAGTGGACCATACTAACAAACCACAAAAAAAAAAAAAAAAAAAAAAAAAACCAGGGTGAAAGCGATGAAATCAGTTTACCCCGTTAACCGCTGGTGGAACAACACACACCACGGCTATGTTTCTCTCTCTAGCACAAGTACATATCAGATACGTGGACACTGATCGTGCTGTACGGGGGGAGGAGGAGGAGGAGGAGGAGGAAGAAGATGGGAATTTCGGGAAAAGAAAAAGAAAGGACCCGCAGCATTCTTAGAGAGGCAATTGATTTCGCATATAATATATAATATTCAACGCAGATTTACTTAATTACTTAAATTTCTGTAACGACGTAGTTTACCCGGCAATTAAAGAGTGAAACAAGACGTCAATCCGTCCGAAGCCTTTAAGCGGAGTCGTCCACCATCGCCAAGAAGCTCGGCTTCGTTCAGGGCGCCATCGATCTTGCCGATAGCCATCCTCTTGCTGCCACGTGGACGAATATGAACCGCCAGATGAAGTGGGAGACCGACCACCGTAACTGCCTCGCCGCCTACCGGTCGCCCACGACTGCACCCCAGCTCGCCCCTCGCGATTGTAAATTTCCCGCTTGTTTTCGTCCCCCAAGACATCGTAGGCTTCCGCTAGGCCTCGGAAAAAAGCGCTTGCGCGCGCTTTCTGCTCCGCGCCCGAGGACACGTGTTTGTCCGGGTGCCATTTCATGGCCAATTTCCGGAAAGCGGCCTTGATTTCCGACGTGGAAGCGTCCCGCCTCACCCCCAACACCTTGTAATAATCTGCATCCCTGTCCATGGACATTGAGCCCCCCCCCCAACAAGCGGGGGCCCCTTTCCACCCCCTTTTCTGGGACTGCAGTACACCCCCTCCGACGTTCAATTCAACCTGTGCACCTTCGCACCCCTCCTTCCCTCCCCATCTGCCCCCTCTCCCTTACCCCACGTCTCCCTCTCTCCACAAAACCCTGCCTCGGCCGACCCCTTTCATCCAGCAGCCACATCCCTGTCCATGGACATTGAGCCCCCCCACAACAAGCGGGGACCCCTTTCCACCCCCTTTTCTAGGACTGCAGTACACCCCCTCCGACGTTTCACCTGTGGACTTTCGCACCCCTCCTTCCCCCCCCCCGTCTGCCCCCTCTCCCTTCCCCCCCGTCTCCCTCTCTCCACAAACCCCTGCCTCGGCCGACCCCTGTCATCCAGCAGCCAGGCCCTCCCGTTGCCACCACCGACAGCAGATGCCTGCTGTGTGAACGCAATTCCCGAGATTCTCTGCGGCATATGATTTCTTTACCCTCCTAGGACGGCGGTTGTGCGATGATGGCGAGAAGATTAACGTGTTGGGTTCTTCGGTGGGGTCCATCAACAATACAAAAAGGATTAGCATGGCCCCTGGTGCATGGATGACACGCATAACACGCATACACCAAGAACTGGTCTGGCCCGTCCCTCAATTTTGTCTGCGCGTCAAGGGCTGCCGAGCCTACAGGCACACGCGGCGAATTCGAAAAGTTCTCGTACCAAAAAAAAAAAAAAAAAAAAAAAAGTTCTGGTACCAAAAAAACAAAACAAAAGAAGAAGAAGTTTCGGTACCAGCCTGCGGGGGCCTACCGTAGCTCAGTTGGTAAGGCACAAAACTTGCGTTCAGGAGGTCGTGGGTTCAATTCCTACAAAACCCTCACATACGTGCCTGGGCATAGTGCCTTGAGGGCAGAGGTGGTGGGGACCACCAACCACTGCCCTAAAGCAGACTTTCACTCACCCACACCAGATGTACGGGTTTGCCCGCAGGACTATATAATTAGGGAGTCGTGGTAGGTAGGTAGTGTGAGGTGAAATTGAGAGAAGAATGTAGCTTACTTTCAAAAAAAAAAAGAATCTAGGGTTCAGCCTCCGGATGAGTCGTTGTCCTCTTCTCCATATATTGTCACAAGAATATCATAATCATATAATC